AACCGCTCTATAAAAGCAGCAGGGATAACTGAGCTCGATCTGCCTCAGCAGTAAGGGTGAGAGAGTATTTGGGGGCCTTTTCTTTTGCAGTACGTTCCCTTAATCCAACGCAGCCTGGATGCAGTGACTTTTGGGGGTGCTCCATAGTCCGTCCTGCAGTGAAAACTGATGGAGAGAAGTAGCTGGAATGCCTTGCCTGGTGGAAGTGTGGCGAGATGTGGGTAAAACCGGGGAGATTCTGAATGTCCCGGTTTGAAGACGATCCGGCAATAGTTCAGGTGTCATCCCGACCCTTCTACGTGTCAACATTGTTTACTGAATTTAGCCTGCTTTCGAATAATAAAAGATCACTAACGAGCACAGCGGCGTGCTTCGGACGCACGGTACAATCATTTTTAGGGTCTGACTGAATGCTGCTTGAAGTCGATGAGAAATACCAATGATGAGAAATACGCTGTACTGCTTCAGGGAGAAGATGCATATGGCAATGAAATGTCTGATACTTGCATATTCCCCCCGCCCCCAGTGGTTTCTCTAAAAGGGCTTAAAATAGCAAATCTGGTTCTGTGAGGAAAGTGAGCCTCCTTCTCCAAGTCTCGGGACCGTTGAACCATTTCTCCTTGGCTTTAACCTCTAGTCGCGGAGCGTCTCAAGCATTGTTATTTAAATAACAGCAGCCACTCTGAGCGTGGCTGATACTTTCTTCTTAGCAAAGGGCTCATCCGTATGCCAAGGTGTAATCAGCCCGTCATATGCTAATTGAGGTCATTCTGTGTGTCAAGTCATGTTTCTCCATTTTAATACGGAGGTTGTTATACAGAAACATACAATTGAGTGTTTGGTTTTGTTTATTTCTTCCTCTTCTAGTGCCAGGGCGCGAGTTGTTCTTAATTCTATAACTATTGTTACAATCAGATTCCTGTTTCAAATAAGTACAGAAAATTGCTTAAGAACTTCTCAAACAAACCTCCTTGCTCAAATTCATAACTTCTCTGAGCAATGGGGTATTGAGCGAGTTGCACAACTAAATGGATGGCCTGCCTTCTGCCAAATCCTCATCTGTTGGCCCTGACGTCTAGACGCTGAATCAAAGGCTAGCTCCACGTCGGCTCACAAGCTTTGCTTAGTTTATGGTTGTCCGAAAAGTAGAGGTTTTGAAGGGAGAAAGCTTTTTTGCCGACCGGTCAGTTGGGCGTACCTGCTTTCGGGTTTGGTTGGAGGATGTGGGGAATCTAGCTTGCCCGCAAGCCTCGGCTGGCTGTTCGGCAGCGCTCTGGGTGCAAGCGGGACACGGTTGCCTATCCTGACGCTGGTTAGGAACGATTCACACAACGGCTCGGCAGGCGAAATGGGCTGCGGGACTGCGATTATCGTTATTAATCGTAACCATTACAGACCTTAGAAGACGCGGGACTTTGATTATCGTTATCAATCATAACCATTACGGACCTCAGAAGATGCGACGTGGCGAACGGGTTCGTGAGTCTGAAGATAGCAATGGCTCTGAGGTGGCATAACGATATTTTTAGCTAGGGGAAGAGATTAAAAGCGAGGCTGGCGACAACGTGCAATGGCGAGATGCCCGGATAGCTCGTCAGTTATTGGACAAAATACACGTGCAACGGTTGACTTGGATTTTGCAGTGAAACCTGCTGAAAGGAGCCGATACTGCTGGTTATGCTGCTTTAGATATTCCTTGGCGTGCGAGGTAGTTTGACAAACCTGATGTCCTGTTTCACAAGCGGACGGTGAGCGCTACCGGTGCCATTACCTGCGGAGCAGGAACCCTACGAACGATGAAATCTCACGTGCGGAGCAAGCCTGTGTGTCGAGGCGAGCGCAGGCTGTGGGTACGTCCCGCTGTGCTGAGTAGCGTTGGGCATTTGAGTGACCAGGTAGTGTGTCGGGTGGGTAGCAGGGTGGTTTGGGTGGGAATCCGTCTCCGGGGCCACGTTATCCTCTCCGAATAGAGACACCGATGGTGTACGGCTATAGAGTCAAGGTTAATACAGTGAGACGTCAGTGAACAGCGACCCGATTTTAGCGCAAGGCTGGAGGGATCGTGTTAATGCTTCAGACCCGTCGTACTGCTAAGGAGGTTCATCGTAATGGTTTTATTTAGTAGCAATCATTGGGCAAAGCGAGGCTCTTGCCCAGGATTTTTTGTTTTGTCGTTCTCACCAGGCTTGGTGCGTTAATACCACTCACGATACAACTTTTGGTGCAGGCTCCCAGTGCAGCATGGGGCTGAGGTAACTTCAGGGTGCCTTTAAAGTTTAAGAGAAAGTAGTGAGGCTTCCCGTTCCTTGCAATAATGCACGTTCTTACAGGATCCTCAACAGAACTTGGGCAAGCGTTTGCTTATTGCTTCATCAGAACGGCTTAGAAAAACACTGCTCACCATCCTGGAGAGCGAGGTTTGAAAGCAAGGAAGCGTCTCTAGATTTCTTCCTGCTGTCCGTCATGAGCAACGTGCGGGAGCAGCATGGGGGGAGGAACAGGAGAGCAAAAGCACGGCTGCCATCAGCAAGTAGAAAATGAAAATCACAGTGAGGTCCTTGGGATTTAAAAAAAAAAAAGAAAAGAGGGTCACTGGGGGAAAGAGAACAAACCCCAACCCCCCGAAGCACGCGCAAGGCAGGTGTTGGTAGGGACATCCTACATCCACCTTCGCTCCTTTGGATGAAGTGACTGCACGCAAAAGCCAGAAAATCTGACGGGTCTGATTTTCAGATCAAGAGCAACTCCCTGGTCGTTATTGGAGTTACATTGGTGTTAATCTGATGAAGTAGGAAGAAAATTGAATCCCCTGAATAGAAAGGGATGGCTCTTCTTTCTCGTCGTCCCAGTGGTGATGTTCCTTCCCCATGCAGCTGGCGCGGCCGCCCTTGCTCTGAAACCTGATGCCCTGGACGGGCTCCAAACCAGCCCCCGGGCCCCGCCGCTGCACCGCTTTCGAGGAGCCTCTCGTTCTGAGAGAACAATGTTGACGTGGCTTCTGGCCAGGGACCGTCCCGGTGCCCGAGAAGAGAGGGGAGCCGGTCACAGGCGAGCGCTGAGGTGGGTGACGGAAGCCACGGGTGCCTCGTTGGGCCACCGTCCCTTGCTTTTCAAGGGCTGCGATTAGGGTTGGGCTTGGGGCGACTCAAGTTGGGGCTGGGGAGGGGACCAGTGTCCTCTCGAGCTCCCGCACCCTTTGCCTGCCCCCATTTAGCTGCCCCCGCCACGGCTGCTGGAACAGGACAGCGAGGGGCCGGCGGGAGAGGATCTCGGAGGAATGAGCCGCTGCCTTCCTCCGGTGGCACCAGCGAGGGAATTGCTCGCAACGCGCCAAATGGAAATCCGTAAGCGATGTCCAAAGGCATTAGCGCGAGCTTCGGATTGACGCAGCACCTGAAAGCAGTGAAATGAAGTAGGTGCTTATGTGATATGAAAGGAATAAAATCGCAAATTAGAAAGCTCTGTTTCTAAAAGGGTGGAAATCAAATTGACACCATGAAGCTCTCAAAGGCGTGTTAGTACAATTGGACACATCTTAAACGTTTCCAGACGTTCTTAAAAAAAAGGGGGGAGGCGTAAATAACGCGGGCAAAAATGCTGTATTGAAACCTAAAAATAGAGCGGTCAAGATTTAAACCAGGTTCATCCCGCTGGAAACAGGGAATTCATCTCCCCCAAGGAGAGCCCGGCGTGGCCTTGCTCCTCAGCCAGGCTCCCCCGGAGCGGCGAGGAGGCTGAGGTCCCTCCCGGAGCCGGAGCGAGGGGCGTGCGGCGCAGAGAGGTGCGAGAGCTCCGGCAGAGCGCTCCCGGGGTGAAATTCCTAAGGAATTCTCCCAAATTGGAAATGCCTCCCGGT